ACATCTGAGAGTTGAGGAATTTTCTCTCCCAAGCGTTTGATACAAATCGTTAATCGTGATGAAGATCGACCAGTGTAACTAGTTCTGTTCTGGTTAACACCTAGTGTATTACTCTGCAGGGTATGCTTGTAAATATATATATATATATATATATACACATTTCAATGTTTGCATAAATATTTGAAAGTTAGCTAATTTCACTAGTACCTTATTTACATTTTTTATGAGCGCGTGAACTTATGTAATAAGCAGAGATGCGAAACAAAAAGTAAATTTTCTATCGTTGCGATGAGTTTATATGCCAACTCTTTTACTTTGATGTCAAAGTAACAGACGAATGAATATAAACTGGTTGTTGATTTGATTTAATGCGTAACTCTGCTAAGTTTTATGATCATCATGACGAAAAATACATTTTTGAGAGACGAAGGATGTCGACATTCAGCAAGGGTATTGGAATACAAGCTAAGGATGTGCTATCAATATTTTTTGATTTTGAAATCAGCTGTAAGTCTGAACTTGTGATATGTGCTAACCGTTTCGCATTCATGCTCGAAGTAGCTGGGATATATCCATTTTCGGTCGTCTTAAAGCACCTTTTTCGGAACGCAATACAGAACTTAGTGGGGAAAATGTAGCTTTCGGGAGAATTTAGTGATTTTAAGAATCAAATACGTGCATGTCGGTCAAGAGTAACTGTGGATGTTGAGGAAAACCCAGATTTATCCTTCTTCGTGGTTTTTTGGAATTGAGCATTTCATCATTATATCGTATTTTGCATAATGACTTGGGTCTTAAGGCTTATAAACTTCTTATAACAGAAGTACAGAAGTACTTAAAACGGTCGATCATCAACAGCTTCGTGTCTTTGTTAATTGGTCCCTTGAAATGCAGGAAAACGATCGATACGACAATAAATAAAATAAAACCCAAGATTTGTTGTTGAAGAGCCTCTCTATGCTTATCGTGCAACTGTTTGGTGCGGTTTTGTGGTCCGGCGGATGACCTCCTTGTGTTGAAAATAAAACGAAACCATCGATTGTTTAAGGGAAGAGCTTCCGAATCGTCCTACCCCTCGAAGACGTGATCACAATTGTCCACCGAGGTCTTGTGATTTAACAGCTCCCGACTTCTCCAACATACCAAAGGCGATTTATGTCCTCAAATATGGACTACTATCAAAAAAAAATTATGGAAAATTAATTTAAATAAAAAATTAAAATAAATTGTATGTTCTTCCGTTTGTTGGGAAAATATCAGAAGTCCGGCCATAAATCGCCAACAATCTACATACATACTATCCACTTGTAAAGTTTCATAGAAGGGATACGGTATCATAAGCGTAGCCTTGGCTGCCATTGGGATGATATTGTAATTGTTGGCCATATCTTCCCCTTCACATTGAAATAAGCTTTCATCATTTATCTCAAAAAATGCTTTTTTTTTAATAGCAAAATAACACCTCTTAATGAAAACTTTGTACAACAAAAAATAAATAGAAAAAATATCTGATGAAGTTCTCATTTCCAAAAATAAAAAATAATATTATATTGTAATTAGGATGACGTGATTTTAAGTACATTTTTTGAGGTTTCCGGCGGGGGTTTTAACCCTAGAAAATGTCCGGCAATGAATAAGTTCATTTCGAATTTTATTAAAAACGTGAGTTGATCCGCCAAAGTAAACACTATTCAAAATTATTAGTCGCGTTATCGGTCTTACCTTTGTGGACGACGCACAATGGGTTAAAAGTGCTGAAACCTTCGCGCATTGTTTATTTTATGCAGTGATTTCTTTAGATTTGGTGATATTTCCTTCAAATGTAGACATTTGATGTAAAATAATTCTGGGAATCGAATGGTATAAAAATTTTTCTATTTATTCTTCCGGAAATAATTTAATAATAATAATTTTTTACAAATCTTCTAATTTAAAGAAAATGAATATTAAAGATTTTCCAACCGATTGAGTTAATTTTCTCATTGTTTATATAAAATACTATACTTTTCAAAGTCCATGACATGTGAAAACTTTATTATGGCAACTAAAATTTAAATTAAACTTTGTAAAAATAAATACGAAATTATTTTATTTCCTAGTAAATTTTACCGATTAACTTCTTCTATGGAATAGTTTTTGTTTAAAAAAAAAAGTAAAACAAGAACAGCCAGCAATATTAATTAATATCGGCTGTGCGTCTGCCTGCTTTCCGTCTGTTAGGACGCAAACTACTCCGTTATATATACTTCTATATTATACATATTGTTAGGATTTTGCTAAATCAACCTCGATGGTTCTCTGAATAAATAAATAAAAACTCGCCAACTTAATTTGCAGTTTCTTTCGTTATAAAGAATTAATCTAATGTCCTTTATTTTCTCAATAATTAACAATTCAATTGTAATGCACTTTACTATTTACAATCACTATCAACAAGTTCACAATTTACTTTACTTAAATGTAATCTCCAACGCGTTTACTTTCCGACTTCACTGATGTTAACGCCAACGAGCTCACTTTGTAACTAACTTGACTTGGCAGCTGAGTGTCGCCCTTATATAGCAGTCGGCTGCTCGTAGACGAAAGTGTAGAATACTCGAGTTGTTCGCTATCGAAGGTTCTCGTTTTATCGTTTCTAGAATACACTAGTTATCAGCTTCTCTTTTTCATCTAACATTCGCCTCGCATTTTCGCAACAATATTTATAACCGTCTTTTAGACTTTGGGCTATAAATTCACAAAAAAAATGTGGAAGAGCACTGAAGTTGATATTATATATATATATTACTTAAATTTAGTTTTTTTATTGAACCATCGGAGTAGGAAGATTAGATTTTACGGGTATATCCTTCTTACATATGAAATTTGAGGTTAAGAGTGTCACAAAAATATGCTAAACATAAAATTTTACATAGGCATGAAAGGCATAGAGGCTTCCTATAGATAAAGCTTAAAAACAAGCACCTATTATTTATTATATTTATTAACAAATGCGTAACTTATATCGCAAATATTTTATAACAGGGACTGACATTATTAAAAAACGATTAAAAATATTGGTAAGACTTTTAAGTCTTGAATTTCCCCTGACACATCGACGTCCGAATTCTTTAAAAATCTTATTGCAATAGGGCGACACAATGAAGCCCCCCAGGCGGCTTTGCTTATTTTATAAACTCGCGATTTCTTTGGCGGCCGCAATAGCCAAGTGGTTAGTATTGTGTACTGCTATTGGGAAGGCCAGGGTTAGAGTCCTGGCCCGACCAACATCCAAAACATTTCTTGTTCAACTTTAAGAGGTCAAATTTCTGGAATGCGTTGTTCGATTTTATCGCCATAGATCTTTTCCGATGGCCTAATGTATGTTTAATAAGAAATGTTAACAAAAAAATGTCCTGCCTGCTACTTTAATTTTGGCTCTAATGCTCGTTCTTTTCAATGGCCAAAACTTAGCTTCTCAACCGGGTGGTCGTTCCTACAATTGAAATAGCATTACGTTCATGAAAATTAATCGGTCAATAAACGCGCTCACTGAGCATGTTAACTGAGCACTCAGTTCACTGAACGCACCCAATGTCATAGAAATGTAAGCGTCACAACTATTTACTCATTAGAAAAGTAGTAATTAAAGGTAGCTGTAAAAAAACCTCAGTTATTAACGTGTAGGACATCTAATTTGCTTGAGCACTTCTCTCAACCTATTAGCAATGAAATTAACTAGTTTTTCAGTTTCGGCCGAGGCAAAGTTTTTTCATTCGCACTTTATTCCACCTCTTAATCTACCTTGCTGGAGATTAGTTGGTTTCTAATTTCTCTTTCCAGAAGAGTCCACAGTTGCTCAATCGGATTTAACTCCGGAGCATTATAGAGGAGCAATGGCTTGACTGTCTCAGCAGTCCATACTCATCTATAAATGGAGAAAATTTGTAAATTGAGCCTTTACATGGTGAATATCTGGTCAATGGCTGATTTACCAGGTCTAAAGCCACACTGCTAAGGTCCAAACAGTAGTTGGCGTAGTCGTAGGACAATTAAATTCCGGTCATATTCTGTAAAGTACATTATGCATGTACCTTGTCAATTCTTCACCGTCATGTTTGAATAGCTTTGCCGGTAGACCGTCAGCACCAGCCGCTTTATCATTCTTTAGGTGCACAAACTCTATTCGATCCTCGTACAAGTTTTGTCATCAATGAACATCTTTACAATGGGATCTCTTGCTAGAGATTTCATAGTCAAACGAAGAAATGCACATATGAGCAGAACGTTGTTTTAACCACTGCACCGTAAAATTACTGAGCCCTTGTAGAGTCGGTGATGAACCACCGACCTAGACCTAGGATGGCAGCCATCAGCACAAGCCTTGGCACTGAAAGTGGTTTCAAAGGATTGACTCGTTGTGTTGTGATTGCTCAAAAACATTTATTTGCACTACTTTTTGTTAGTAAAAGTGACAGGAAAAATTCTCCAGAAATCGCAAAAAGAAACGACACTTTTATAGCGTTTTCACGAGATAAAGAGTTTCGTATCATATTATCTTTGGTTCGATGGAACGCTGAGCTATATTAAGCGAATCAAGAAGCAGTGGTGACGCGGCTTGGTCATGTGGTTTGGAAGATTAAGTATACTCCAGCTTTTAAAGTTTTCGTTGCCATAAGCAGAGGAAAGATCGAGTAGAGAAGGACCCGGAATTAAGGAATGAATGCAATGTTGTTAACTCGGTGTCTACGCCAGTAAAGATACATAAGATAGATTATTTTTGCAAAAAATATTATTTATTCATTAATTTTTATTATTTAAATTGCAAAGAAGCTTAAAAAATGGATAGCAATTAACAATCGCTCATGGTGAATTTATAGTGTGAATTCACCTTGCGATTGATTTTAATAAAAATTACTTTTATTAAATAAAAACTATTAATAATAATCATTATCGGCGAAATATTTTACGTATACCAGAAGAAGAATTTTTTCTATCTATGAATGAAGAGGCATAAAAAACGCAAGATAAGCGGAGACAACACAGTTCTTTTTGTTCTACTTTGGCTTTTATTTAAGTATTGCCTCATGTAGAATGGCAAAAAGTGGTCCATCGAAAAGGAAGTGTAGCAAGAACGCGCAGAAATATGTCACTAGCAAACATCCAATAAATATAGTAAACTGTAAATATAAGAAAATAACTAAATTGAAATTGAAATAAAAGTAAGAGAAAAAGATACTCACGGTTTGTAAGATGGAATTATAAATTGGGGCGTCTGTTGTGAAGACGAGCAGTCGAATTACGATTGGGCCGATGAGTAAGCATATTGGCGCTAGGCGATCTAGGGCGAACAGGTATCTACTCTGAAGCAAAGAACTCAATGGTCTGAACGCTTGATATATTTCAGTGTTAAGTGTGATCCAGAGCAGCATTAATGACCACATAGCATGTGAAATGGCGACAAATGTTGCCTGGCACCAACGACCAGGCAAATAGGCTTCATAACTGTACTTATGACCAAATATAAATAAGCCAAAGGTAAGAGAAAATGCGAACCATCCTGTGGAAAATTTCTTACTAAGTTAAAAAAAAAAATATTTTAAGAGGAATAAAAAGAAAGAATTTTTTAATTACCACAAATTTGTACCACAATACCAATTTTCGTATTTGTTTGTGTACGCTGAAAAATATATCCGGTGCATATACCAATTATATATGGCAAAATACGTAGCCAAATATTGTCAAAAAGCAAATTGAATTCGGCTAATTGCTTGAGCGTATGAGATCTACAGTAAAACAGTGAAAATATTTCAGTTTTAGTCAATGTGGAAATTCACAGTTATAACGGTTTTATTTACACATGCGATATTCTGAGGTATTCTGAGCTGGTGGTTGGATTGCCTTCCCATGCTATAGCGGCAAGTATTGAGTTTAAAAAAACGGTCCCTCCAATAATTGAAGCGTATGTTGACTGAATTTTGGCAAGAAGTAGGACCAAACAGGACACAATGAAAAATTGCATTTCCAGCGAAATAAACCACGTCCAAGGCATACACTAAATATAATAGTAAACACATACACATATATATTTGTATATATTATGGATCAAGATGACTAAAAAAGTACTGAAAAGGTTTTGAAAAATTTATATTTGAAAGCAACAAATATTTTCTTCGAAAATTACGTAAATATGTTTTCATGGTTATTTTTTAATACGCTATACATATGTATTTGATGAGAAATTTTCTTGTACATGTATGTACATTTGGATCTTTTGATATAAACGGAAATATATTTAAACGAATTTTGAAATTAGTAGGTGTAAAAAAAAGAAAAGTATTATTTCTTTGTAGTTATTGAACCGAAAACTGTATATGTGTATTTACTACAGCTGGTTTTTCGAATGTGAGTTACCTGAAACTCTTATTCATAAAAAAAAAAAAAATACTGCGACTCACAGAACACGTTTCCAAACCGGAGTAAACTCTTATGAAACCCAAAGAGATGATCATGTGGTCGATGCCCAGAGTATGCTGAATTACGAAGGGAATATTTCCCCAGCCTGTTGGATGAACGGTAAGGTCATAGGGGACTTTCGGCCGAGGCCCTCCTTTCATTGGCGATATGCGTCTTGATGGTTTTCCAACAAATGTAGCGACCTACAATATTTTCTAAGCCGCCTCCGAACGACAGATGAAACATTTGTTTCATTTCGGAACCTCCTGCCTTAAAATTGGGAGGAAAGCATTAGTTTATTAAGATATAATCTTTTCTCGCGCGATGATACAAACATAAGACAAAATTAAATATAAAGTTTAATTAATATTGATGAAGTAAATGTTAATGGGAAATATTTTTGAAGAAAAAAGGTAAGTTTTCTAGCTACAAATTCTGGTCCACTTTGGATGAAAAATAGTTAAATAGAAATTTTTTGAAGTTGGGCTTTGGTAACGCCTTCTTCGAGGACAATGGAAGTGGGCTCAAGAGCATTACGGCATTATTAAAAAACAGTATATATATGCCTAAGTAGTCAAACCTCGGAGGAAAACGAGCTTGTACTCTCTGATGACATAAGTTTATTGTACAGATATTCCGTGTTTTTACTTAAAAACATTTTAAAAATTAAAATACAGTTCCACGCTTTTAAGAACAATTAATTATCTATAATTTTGAATTTCTGTTGGAAAACATCTCAACAAATTTATTGTTTTCAGAGTTAGGAAAACAAACGAAAAGTAAGCTGGGCAGGAGCGCTATTTGGTGATGATAATTTTTTAAGCGAAGTTCCTCTGAATATACTAAAATACCACCAAAGTTTTCAAATTTCAAGAACATAACTAAAACTGTCTATTACTGGCTTATTTTTACATTTAGATAATTTTTAATTACAAACTAACAAAGTGATGTAGAAAGCATTGGGGAATTCTTTGGCATAACCACTTATGCTTCAACTAAATATAAAAAAAGACGCTTACAAAATGCATGCAAAGATTCAAGGTAAATCTTTCAACTTTAAAAATCAGTTTAAATAATTCAATTTCGAGAACTCTATTAATCGAAAGATAATTTTAGACGCACTTCAAGGCTACGCTATGAAGAAAGTCATATAAACACAGATGCATTGCACGTCTTCTGGGTTTTAACGCAATTTTTCGAAAATTCCATTATAGCCTATTTTCACCAAGCACTTAAATGCTTTTAAGGCCTCTGTTAAGTGAATGAAATTTCAAACGTTTCCACTGAAAGTGAGTTAACTGACACAGCTGATTTTTGTTTACATTTGCAGTTTACAAAATTTGCCACACCTATTGAAATCATGAATTCAAGAGACCGCATTCATTTTATTTGGCTATTTTTTTAATTTTAAGATTTGCAAGTGCAGATTATTTCTGCACGGACAAACGTTGCTGAAACGAAAATGCTTTTATGCATGTTTCCATTTTCATATTTGTTTGTTTGTTCTCTCAAATTATTTATTTTACGCAATCAGCTATTAGCTACCAGAGCCACGTATATTTTTATGTTGAGAGGATCGTTTGATATTTCATAATTGCCTTTTTGTTTGTTTCTTATAGTTTTTTTGAAGGCGGAGAAGCATTCTCTTCGCAAATTACTTAACATAGGCATTATGTTAAAACTAATGCAAAATAGGAATTTTTATACAAAAAATTTCACCATGCAAAATAAAAATCCGGCTCCGAAAATACACGACTCTGGCAAGAAGTACACCGAAACTATCGAAATGATTACATTAATAGTGACAGTATCGAATGTTAAAATAACATTTTCAGTTAAATTGCCGAAAGTTAGTTACCTCACTTTGAAAAGTGAAAGAAAGAAGTCTAGACATTTAAGATATGTAAATTAATAAATAAATATTTTTGTTTTACTCACCCTTTGGTCTAATGGAAAGAATGTGTCTATATAAAGCACATTAATTAATCGATTCTTGCACGTTTTATAATCCAAAGATGGAACTTCCAATGCTATATTATTATGAAAGTGCTTATCCAATAGATGCTCAGCGAAAGTACAAAATGCAAATGAAGGACTTACGCTAAAATTAAAAAAAAAAAGATCAAACTAATATAAACTATGCTGATTTTAATTTTATATTAAAAAAAAAAACTAAATTAAACGATGTCTCGTGAATAATATCGTTTAATATATTTATATCCAATTGGCGCTTTGTAACCGCTGAAGCGATTTTCGGCCGAGATCCTCCCCCAATTTGTGGTTTTGCATCTTGATGTTTTTCCAACAAATGCAGGGACCTACAATTTATACTAAGCCCCCTCCGAACGGCTGATGGTTATTTATGAGGAGGAGGGGTTTACATGCCCTGCCGTGTGGCGACCGCAATTAGAAAATTTGACTTAGTTTTTTTTATGTTAAATACGTTTCCTTTCACTTTTGGATATTGGTCACACTAGGATTTTAACCCGGGTTTTCCGAATGGCAGTATGCAATGCAAACCACTCGACTAGAGCGGCCGCCATCGTTTAATCTAGTTACTTATAGAAGAGTATACAGCCCAACGAAGTCTATGGTACATACGTTTCCTGAAATGTGAAGATCTAAAGTGCAGATTTTAAAAAATAGCGAAATGAAAAGCAAGGAAATTAGCTTAATTGTAAATAACGGTATTTAGTAATGTCACTTGAGGTGGTTCGTAGCATTCCTGGTATATAAGGTTGCATTTTATTCACATTTTAGAATTGTCGTATGGAGACTTTTTTGTATTTTGGAAAAGTCTTTTATGAAATATTTTTAATAAAAATAAAGGAATTGGTCAAAATATCTTTTTTGATTTTTGAGAGTTCGTTTGGTAAGTATTTTGTTGTTTCATTACGCATAGATGCTCCAGAATTTCACATTTCAAAGGGCTATGGAGAAATTCAAAATAGATCCCTAGGAAACTCGTTACTAAATTAAAATGCAATAATTCTCAAGTTTGTCTATGTTGCTTGAGCTGCAAAGAGGCAGTGGTACCGGGTTGCATTAATATACTATGTTTCGTAAGCTATTTGTAGCCCGTAACCCCTTTGGGTGTATTTTTGACATGATACAATACAAAAGGTGTTCGGAGGTGGCTTGAAATAAACTTTAGGTCCTTCCATTTGTTGGAAAAAACATCAAGACATATATAAATAATAATTTCAATAGTATTGATAGCAAATTATTTTTCAGCAATACAATATGTTGATGTAGCCACCTCTTCAGTGGTGGGAAGGTGGCTATTTAACAGCTCTCTAAAAGAAATCATTGAACCAAAATTTGATAATTTCAAATAAATATGTATGTTCATAAATCTTTGTGGCAGAGAAATTAATTTACTTTAGGCAGAACAATGCCTGCTGAGTCTGCTAGTAAAATATGAACTTAGTTTGATACACATGGATATGTTTATTTATGATACTTACGAAAGAGCTTTTCTCAAAGTAAGCTTTAAAACATAAAGCACTTGTTGGGAAACATTAAACTTTTCGGTGGGAAACTTTTGTAGAAACTCGGAAGCCATCTTTGAGCCACTATTAAATAAAGCACAGCAGCAGTCAGTGTGTTTAATTATATCCACATATGTTGGTAAATATATATGTAATATATGAGACAGGCTACTCAACTTGACAAAGAAGTAGACATCAATTAGAAAACTGGCGTACTGCATTGAAGGTATTGAGATTTGATTGCTTTCCTTTTGCCCAAAGTTGCTTGAAAGTGTTTTTATTTGGGTATCCAGATATTCGTGAATCAATAACGATGTAAAAATTGCATAAATAAGAGAGCATGACGTCACATCCCCGACGAATACATTGTAAAGAACATTGTGTGGTGACACAGCATAGAGGATATCATCCAACTTATGTGCTCTGTTCTTTGCAGAAACTTGTTGTATCCTGGCAGCTGAAAATTTTTTTTTTAAATATAACACAAATAGAATAAAATATTAGAAACCCCACAGAATATTTTAGATGGATATTTACATACATATATATGATATGTATATGCAATATTCAAGAAATTGAATAAATATTGAAATTTTAATATACATAATGAATTAAGAACTTAATTTATAATTATTCGATTTTTGTTTTCTATTAAACAAAAAAATATAAACTTTTTAAAGGAATTTTTATTAGGTAATTTAGTCCGATTTAAACTATTTGGGTTCGCATTCGAGGGCAATCAAGACTGTGTTTCTGACATGAAATAAAAGCTCTTCGTAAAAAATCATCAGCCGTTTGGAGGCGGCTTACTATAAACTGTTGGAAAGAAAATTATAACGCATTCACAAATTAGACGAAAATCACGTCGGCGGTTACAAAACGCCAATTATATATACGAGGTGTGATCAGAAAATATCCGTTATTTTCAAATTTCTTGATTCGATTTTCGATTTTCGCTTTCTTTCTGTTGTGTTAGTGCACATGTTTATTATATATGTATGCATATTGGCAATATCAGCCATTTTGGATTGTCAGTTTGTTTTTTTTAACTGATAAAAAAGTTAGTCGTGTTTTGGTGTGCTCTTCGACTTTTTACTAATCGTAAAAATGGACCAAAGAAACTGTATTAAGTATTGTGTAAAAATTGAAATTAAATGCCCAAGGACGTTTGAAATGTTGACTGTGGTGTTAAGCGAGTCTACTATGAGCAGAATACAAGTTCAATTGTGGTATAACCGGTCCTGGTCGCCCGAGCACATCAACAACCGATGAAAACATTCAAGTCGAATCAATATCAGAGAGGTTGCTGATGATGTTGGCATATCGTTCGGAAAAAAAGTATGCCCCAGAGGAAGAGTACCATCACCACACCTAGGGACCTTAGTAGTAGATGACCTGCTACAGCTCCTAACAGACAATGGCACAAAATATCAAGGATACGCCGATGACATTGTAATAATAGCAGTAAGCAAATTCGAGAGCACACTGTGTGATATCATACAGAGAGAACTCACATTAACAAGGAAATGGTACTTTGGAGAAGGGCTAAACATTAACCCTAACAAAACAGCAATCGTGCAATTAACAAGACTGAAAAAATTAAACTTAAAATACATAAGAATAAACAATATAGTAATAGGGCCCCAATTGAAATGAAATATATTTAGGGGTGATTCTTGATGCCAGAATAACGAGGAAAAGTCGCGTGGAGTATATGATGAACACAGCGACGAGATCAATAATGGTATGCAGAAGATTAGCAGAGACAGTATGGCGGCGCTGGATCTATACCATGATAGTAAACCAACAATAATATATGGCGCGGTTGCCGGTCCATAACGAGCAAAGTTAAACACGGCCAAAGCTGCAGTAATTAAAACTGCAAAGACTAGCTTGCGTCTGCATAACTGGATGCATGAGAACGTGTCCTACAGTAGCACTACAAATTCTCCTTGATGTTACACCTCTCCACAAAGCACTAGAACTTTCACACAAAAGAGCTCTATTGACAATGATTAAACGGGGGTCAGGGAAAGGAAAAATCATATCAGCCAAAAAGAGGCTGAAATAAAAGAAAGAATACCTTCAGCTAATTTTAATAGAAATATTTAACACAACGAGTTTCAATGCCAAATTAAAAATATCCCTAGAAAAAGAACATGGAACCAAACTCAGGTACAGGAATTAATAAAACCGCACTACCTAATGTGATACACAGATGAATCAAAGACTACTGATGGTATAGGCGCTGGGGTCTCTGGACCCAGAACTGAGATACCGAATCCTATGGGGAAACACCCTAGCATCTTCCAGGCAGATGTGTTCACCATTACAATAGAGCAGAGCTCATACTCTAAAGGAAAATGGTTATCCAACATGTAGTAATTTGCAGCAATAGTCACGCCGCACTGAAAGCAATATCGTCATGTGCAATTAAGTCGGATATGGTTTGGAAAGTGTTAAGAATCTCAATAGAGTGGGTGAACGGAATAAAGTTCAGCTCATCTGGGTTCCGCGACAAACTGGTCCTACCGGACCTGAGCCTCTGTTTTTCTTTAGGTCCCCACTCAACTAACGAGGAGATAAGAAACAGGTACTGATATACTAGCGACGGAATGAGATAATCAAAGAAAACTGCTACAAATACCGTTTGAATGTGAAGCTGTTGCAAGAAGAAGACATAAATAATTGGGAGTCAGCCGGAGGATAACCACATCAAATCAATCAGTCCCTCTAGCCTGAGTAGGTTTATAAGGGCATTAGGTCTGGTTGAAATAATGTGAAGAAATCGGAGGGTACATTAGACCACTGGTAGCGGTGCATGTCCTCCTTACTAATCTATCTATCTGTCTATCTAATTCCATTTTAAAAGTGAGAGACAGGAAAAACCTAAGGTAGTTAATAACCCCAACTGTCCTGTTCAAGTCAAGGACATATAAATAGAACACACAATTATTATTAAAATTACTGTATAGACTATTAAGAGATTGCTCACTATGTCCACTTCGAATGGCTTAAATCTCTCTAGGTAAGCATGGGCTAGTGATAGTATAGAATGTAATGGCCTTTAAAGACGATCAAACAATTTTATCATGCATGAGTGAGGTTCGCTCATATCTTATCTGCAAAATTTCAAAATAAAGTCCTCAATCATCATTTTGAATTTGTTCTAATAGCGTTCGGTTGTCATGTCGGCTTCGGAAGAAATTTTTTTTGGGAATTAATATATTTAATAGTAATAAATATAATTTTTTTTTATTGAAATAATTAAAAAATAATGAAAATTGAAATAAAATACTTTATGTTATTAAATTAAAGTTAAAAAATAAGATTTAGGAAGAGAAGTTTATAACGAAAATACTTCTAACTCACGCTCTTTTAAAATGGACTTGCAACTAATCTTTCGTTCAGTAAAAGCTCATAAGATAACGTTTCTATTAATGAAATTTTTTTTTATAATAATTAAACGTTTTTTGTTTTAAGTTAATTTTTTTTATTTTGCTTTTTTCGAAGTAAATTTGCCTACCAATCAAACAAGATATTGTAAATAATGTCATAAAACTAAATATAATTAAATATCATTAAATGTCCATTGCGCATAAAAAAAGGACTGATTAAGGTCCTTCTCCATACTTCACCTTCAAATATCACAAAGCAAATGAGCATGTTTTTGTCAAGTGAAGATGATCAAATTATCGGACATCGAAATAAAATATAAAAAATTTTTGATTTTCACCAAACAAATGACAACAACTCTGCTTAGCGAACGTGTAGCCGACAATAGTCGACGACGCCAACACACATAAATTTTTGATGAGTTCACTTTATCCTCTCCAAGAGCCTTAAGATACGAGTATATGTAAATAAGGAGTGAAGATACTTAAAGCGAATAATTTAAATTGATTCTAAAAAAATATGACTTCCATTATTCACATACAACAGAAGAATATTACAGCACAGGCTCCGAGAGAGAGGTAGAGTATTTTAGTTACCGAAAGCACTTTAATCCTTAGACCTTTAAACTTCACTGAGTTGTTGAGATCTTCTTGCAATAGTTGAAAAAGTTTCAGAATAAAGAAAATTGCCCTCAGAGAGTCTTGAATTATTGACAAATACTATCAGCAGATATAAGAGGTACGAAACGAACATAATCAAAAAAAGGCATTTGGTATAAATTTTGAAAATATATTAGCTTGATTTCAGACAGCCTGTTGTTCCTTCTTTTTGAATCAACAAATTATAGAATGATTTCTGGCATTGTTTTGCCTAGTTTTGGCTCTATACTATGTTATACTGTAATCACAATCGTATAGGGTTATCCATTTCATGGGTTTGCAAGTACAGGGTTGCATTTTGACATCTATTAAACTTAACTGCCGAACAAAACATGTTTTGTTCTAGTTAAAAGTCGGTCATCTATGAAAATAACCGTACAAAGTCTTAAAATTTTTAATACTTAATACAGGAATGATGATTCAAACATGACCACGCCTTGTGCCTTAAGAGGAGATTATGGTGCACATAATTGTCGAACTACTCAAGCAGTTGGTAAAATTTTAAATACATTTAAAGAGACTGATATTGTACAGCATTATCGTTTTGCTCATCAAGTAAAAGTGCAGGCGGGGACCCATTTGTGTCTATTTCTCGACGTTCTCGGCCGCGTAATCTCTCAACTTGAAGTTGTCAATTGGTTTACGAGAACGTGCGATCGTGCGAAAGGAAGGCCGTGTTTGTGCTTTAACTCTTGAGCACTTGAAAACCAACACTCGTCATGGCTGTGAAAAAAGTAGTGGAAATCATGAAAAAAATTTGAAAAGTAACCGCAAATGCAAAGTGGTTAAACCTGTACGAGTATTTTAACAAAATTGTAATAATCAAACGCTTAAGTTAAAAGCAACGTTAAAATAATAAGAGACATGCCTTTTATATTTCGGTATTTGGAGAGAAAAAAATTATTCATTGAAAATCGCTTTTTGTTTTTCAAAATATTCTAATGTGTGGAATACACAGTGGAATATATTTGTGATTTGGAAGCAAAATTTAAACATCAAAAAGTTATTACTGATTCAGTTATTTCCATCTTCGTGTAGTTTTCTACAGGGTGAAAACATCCTAGCTGATTTCTTCATTGCAGTTGGTTTCTACGTGGTGGGTACCAAACCCATCGCACAACCTGGCTAGGCCGCTTGTTTCAAGACCAACGCCCGCTCGCTGTTGAACCTCTGGTGAACAGACGGTGCAATTGGACATCAGCGGACCCGTAAACCTATTCAGTCGGAGTGGCTCCACTGAAGCTTCCTCTCTTATTAGTCACGACCCAGGGCTCCACACGGGTTGGTTACCGCATCTTGCACAAGGTTTGCTCACGTTTCCAGGGTTCAGGACGTGCACGTAAGAGTAGGAATCGAGTATTGCCTCGCAACTGGAACAGCAAACCCAGACGCTTGACTACATTCCTTTACACTCCCAATTATTCACCAGGCGCCAAATCTTTCAAAAGATCCGTGAAAAGAGGATCGACACCCACCATCTCTTCGTCGATTTTAAAGTCGTCTTCGACCTCACGAATAGGAGCTGCCTTTACGCCGCTTTATATATACAAATATGACCCTAAGCAACACCAAAAGCTCTGTCAGGATCGGGAAGGACTTCTCCGAGCCGTTTCATACCAATTGAGGTTTCAGACAGGGTGATTCCTTATCGTGTGGCTTTTTAACTTCTTTAATACGAGCTGCAGAGCTGTATAGAGAAGGTCAATCTTCTGTAAAAGTGTACAGCTGCTGGCGTATGCCGATGATAATGACTATTTAGCCGACAACAGACGCTCGCTTCATGCCTAAAATATCCGTAAAAATTGCTTGACATGAGCCGAACGATGTGCCAATATCATCAGCAACCTCTCTGATATTGATTCGACTTGAATGTTTTCATCGGTTGTTGATGTGCTCGGACGACCAGGATCGATTATACTACAATTGAACTTGTGTTCTGCTCATAGTAGACTCGCCAAATGCCACAGTCAACATTTAAAACGTCCTTGCGCATTTAATTTCAATTTCACACACAAAACTTAATACAGTTTTTTTGGTCCATTTTTACGAATAGTAAAAAATCGAAGAGCACACCAAAACACGACTAATTTTTTTATCAGTAAAAAAAACAAACTGACAACCCGAAATGGCTGATATTGCCAATATACATACATATATAACAGACATCTATTCCAACATAACAGTAAAAAAAGCGAAAATCGAACATACGTAACTCACGAAATTTGAAAATAATGGATATTTTTTGATCACACCTCGTCCATACATATATACCGTTTCTATCATGACAGACAAACATCATTCCACAATAAGATGGGAAACGAATCTCAACTTACTTAAATAAAAAGGGTAAGCATTGAAATGATAATTCAAATTTTTGTGCTAAGATTTATAATATAAAATCAACCGTTCGGGTAAAAGATGATGAGAGATGTAAATATAAAGAGTGAGGTGCGAATAATTGATTGTAAGCCGCTATTTAAATATATCAAGGAAGTTGATGGAAAAGAGTTAAATATTAAATTTATTAAATTTAATAATGAATTTCAAATACGGAAATCAATAATTATAAAACAAAACATATTAGAAAAAAACCCGTTAATATTATACAAATAATTGAGGAAGGTAATAATGATTATTCCAGAAATGAGGATGTCGCTCTAAGCGCAGGCGCACAGAATATCAGTGGTAAATTAAATTACATACATATATATATTATTGAAACATTAAAATAGTGGAAAAAACTGCCCGAGCAAAATCCAGATAAAAATTAGTTAAAAGTTTGAGAGCCACTGTCAGAATTGCAGATAATCTATAATTACCGGTGTGCCTTTATGCTCATTCGTAAATGGATAGCAGAGATAGATCCAACAGTTTCGATGTAATGAGTTTTCGCGTATATTTCGGAAATACCATTAAAAAAGTTAATACTTTGCTTTTAACTCAATAGAAGTTAGTACTTTCACTAACAGCTCTTTTTGAATATTTCGTTTAATTATTTCGACTGGGTCGAGGGTTCGTGCCGGCGTTCTTATTATTGAGGCCCACAGCATTGATAATAAAAAAAATCATTTTGAATTAAAAAAATATGCATAAAAACATATTGTAATGGCTTTGCAATTGATAGCTTAATGACTTAATAATTGCCTTAATTTGTGATGAGCAATAAATGCTAGTCCCGCGCAACCGAAACAGTCTGGGAACGAGTGTTCGGCTCTATCCGAACTTCGACCTTCTCTACTTTTTTAACTTACTTTCAAGCTTGATATCCACAGTATCAGTGCCGGTTGTAGTCTTTCGGGGAGTCTGTTGAATATTACCTAAAACCGAGTTTTTGTAATCCGCGATGAATCCGATTTTTTTCTGAAACGCTTCAGTGCTCGAATCAGAGTTCTTGATAAACGAGTAATAGCTGCGCATGACAAAAAACAAAGCATAAAGGAAAAAAGAGGTGCAGGCAAATGTTCTGAAATTAAAAAGTTAATAAATAATAATATCAATGTTAAGTATTGAAAAACACCACAGCTTTGGACGTGTAAATTCTTACATCAAAACATATGTGTCCGTATCGTTCCGAATGCTGTATAAATCGTTTAGAGCGCGGTGACCCAGATATGTAATGTTCCTGACAACATGATTACTTTGGAACAGGTACACCTCAAGGATTTGCTGTAAGTCTTTGGCCGTACAGGACGTGGGGAAACAAATTAATTGTTGTATCCTCTCGTACTGCAGTTTAGAAATTTTAGAAGTGGTTAGATTTCAATAGTGCTATTACGGTATTTTCAAGATTGAAGTTTTTTCTTTTGGAAGCGGGAGATGCTAACCTTGAAACCACGTTCATAGACGATTTCCAACAAATAATGACCCACAATAATTTGAACGGCGAATGGTACTATAGTTTCATTCGCGATAAAACTCCATGAGGCGTGTTGCACTTGATTTTTGTATTGTTCGAGCAGCGAACGGCAGATGTTCGGATTGTGTATCCGAACATTTGATGCACCACCCAATGCGCCGCCGCCATAGTAAGACGTAGCATCATATACTTTGTTAAAAGAAATTATTAAAAAGCAGGTGTTACATTTTGTGTCTCTAAAGCACTCTTACACTTCACCGCCCATAGCGAGCCATGTCGTAGTCCTTCTAAAAAGTTGTACATGTCACGGATGCAGTTCTCACTTATATTCCAACCTTTATCATTAAATTCAAAAAATCGCAAGGTTGCGTATGGACTGAACCCCTCGAAGATGTAATTGACACTGGTAACCACGCCTGCACTCACATAACTGCACATAAGCAATTGAAGAGCACTGAAAAATGCTATTTTCCATATTAAGCGCATATTGCTCTTAAATTTTCGAATCTATCCAATTTAATTCACAAGTCATTAAGAATTTCGTAAAAGTACGTATGCACTCCAAGCTCAACATTTCGAAACTGACATGGCCATCGGTGTCTGATGGCACGCATTTTCCAATAATCACTCAAAAAAAAGAATGTGGATAAAGAAATAAATATAACAGCGCCTTAAATTTGACCATACGAGTGAAATGTATATGTATGTGTGTGTGTGTGCTTGTATGTTCATAAACTTTCAATATCATTTGAAACGTGCCGGTCAGTCGGTCTGTTGCATAGACGCACATATACTGGGTCGTGCGCTCAGGACTGAACTCAGAGTGAAAATGAAAGTTTATTTTCATATTTGTTTTGTGAAGATTTTCTGCGAAAACCACAATAGCTAAAGAACGGCCGAGCTTCGACTTGCTGTTAACTCAGTGTCGGCAAGATCAAAATCGCATTTAAACGAACTTTTGAAATTTTTAATGATTTTTTGTAGAAAACTGCACCCTTAGTTGCTTATGATGAAATACAGAATTTTTTATGCATTTTGTGTGCTATATTTTGTACCTCTGTTATCCAGACATATCCGATACATGCTATAGGTACGCCGAACTTCGTTGAGCTTGACCTGTTGATTTGCAATACATTCGGAGTATTTTTCTAATTACGTGTATTCTAATATCCAATTTGTGCTTTTTATGTCAATAAACTATTTTCAAATATATGCGTTAGAGTGTTCGGGAATTTCTCGCTTGGCTGTTTTTTCAGCTTTTTTCGGTCTTGGCTGTTTCGGCGGGACGATTTCACATTGGTTTCGTTGTCTCACAAGCAAACTAGATATGCTATTTACGCGGATAGATGAAACTGTTAACATATGTGTATGCACATATGTTTGAGAAGTGTTCACTACCATAAATATGTGTGTGGCCCAAAAAGCGGGCGACGATCTTGAAGCAAGCGGCGCGCTATAGAAATGTGGAAAAAAATTCATATTTACTCACCTGTGAGCAGGGTTTTAGACCCACAACGTAGAAACTAGCTTTAATGAAAAATCCCTTTTGATGACGACGACTATAAATTATTTAAGAATAACGATGACGTGCACCTGAAATGTTTGGTCGCTTGATTGAGAAGATGCCGTTCCCAGCTGGTTGATTTTCTCGAAATAATAGAGGCCGTCCAACAAGCGCAACGGACGAAAAAGGAGGAATCAAGTAGGTCCTTGTAACAATTACTACAGGAGCTATATAGAAGAGCACAAGTTTCGTATCAGATTCATGATGGTAGGGAGACGATTTATTAGGTCAAGTAAGAAGTTCGTTCGGTTTTTTTTATTGATTTTTCAAAAAATGATAACTTTGTCGACAATTGTCCGATTTAAGTCAAATATGCGCCGTTTTGCTCGTAAACTTGTTGCCAACGAGATGCCAATTTTGTTATACCCCTCTTATAGAAACTCTGAGAGCTAATTTTCACAGGTCTCTCTTGAGGTTAATAGTAAGATACTATTAAGCGCATTCCCCATGGACAGGAAATGATGGTAATCACTTGGTGCAAGGTCCGGACTATAAGGTGGGTGCATTAGGACCTCCCATCCGAGCTCCTGGAGCTTCTGGCGCGTCCTGATGGAACACAATTCGGCCTCTGTTGATCAAAGATGGCCTCTTCTGGATGAGTGCTCCCTTCAAGTGCCAATCCCAAGAGACACACAGCAAAACCTTCCTGGCCGTCAATACGGTCCTGGCCACCGTCTGGGCAGCTTCCCTAATCTTTGACCACGAAAGTTTGCGCCCCGATGTTGTCGTAAGTGACCCATTTTTCATCGCCTGTCACAATCTGCTCCAGAAACGAGTCTTTGACGAGCGCTCACAACGCACTGAGTTAATCAATCGAAAAACTGTCAAAGACAGCGCGAATCGACACGTTTTCAGCGCCGTATAGTATGACATGATGCGACACGTAACACTAGTACTATGGATAATAACAACATCTCATTCATAAAAACCGAACGAACTTTTTACTACACCTAATTTGTTCTTTTCCAAAAAGGATGGAGGATGATCGACTTCGGCGAAGTGCGAAATATGGTTGTCTGTAGTACTTGGTTGTTCCTCCCGAAGAAAAAACTCAAAATCATATCGATCATGTTGTGTTAGACGGATGACTGTTCCAGTGTTCTAGATGCGCGTACGTTCCGAGGACCTAAAAACAATTCGGACCACAGAAGATTTCAAAATTGAAGAAGACGCTTCCAGGGCTCAAAGAGGTGATCTTGGGACTAATGCCCAGAGTATACTGAATTTATAGAGGGACCCTCCTGAAAATGCAACACATGAAGATGGTGAAATCTAAACCCCAACCGATGATGATGAAAAAGACGTTTCGTTAACCAACTATAATGAGTTTCGAATAACAGTTGCCCGTTTAAAGAATAGCAAAGCGGCTGAAGCTTAGGGCCCGCCAGCAGAGCTACAATACTTAAAAACGAATTGATAAGGCGCTTCCGCTTCTTTGCACGAAACGGTCGGACGAACGTAGGTCCGACGATTGGTACTGAAGTGTGCTCTGCCTAATCCATAAAAAACGGAACCCTACGGTCTGTACTGAGTGAAAGACTAAATTTCACCGTCAACAAACTAATTGGACCTCATCAGTGTGGATTTAGACGTGGTCAATCTACTTTTGGCCAGATATTCACTATGCGACAAATGTTGAAAAAAGATTCCGTGATTAAAGAATCGATACACCCGACATCTAAATATCTGAATTCGTCAAACTGACGATGGACAACACCAGAGCCGAGCTACTGCTGGCGTATACCGATGACATTGATATCAACTGCGCCGTTAGTTCTGCCATCGCCAGGCTTGGCAAGGAAGCGAAGCGAATGCGTCTGGTAGTGAACGAGGACAAGACGAAATATCTGCTGTGTTCAAACAAACAGTCGGCACATTTACCGCTTTTCTCCCACGTCACGGTTGACAGACGTAACGTAACGATGTCGTAGACATTTTACTTTATCTAGGGACCAGAACCAACACCAACAATAATTTCAGCCAAGAAATCCAATGGAGAATCACTTTTGCCAACAGGTGCTAACTTGGATTGACTAGGCAAACGAAAAGTCGTCTTTCGATAAACCAAAACAGTTTTCGGGAGAAAAGTTTTGCGAACGATTTATGCTCCTTTGCGCATTGGCAACAGCAAAAGTCGCAGACGATGAGACGATGAGCTGTATCAGTGATAGGATGACATTGATATAGTTAAGCGAAAGAAGAGACAGCGGACGTGGGGAGTAGAGGAAGGCGAAGACCTCCACTCTGTTGAAAGGATCAGATAGAGAGCGACCTAGTTACACTTGGTATTTCCAACTGTAGCCAAACAGCACTTAGAAGAAACGAAGGAAGTTGAACATTTTATATTCTAAAGCATGTTTAATGTTTTCTGGCACTAATTCTTTATTTATTCATTTATGAAAATTAATTTCTAGGTCCAGTTTACCTGCTTGTAATTGTGTAAGTTCTGAAAATTTACAATCTGAAATCACGTTGCTTCGGAATCTTCATTATGATCATAAGATTGCTCACCTACCCAAGTTTTAATACGCACACATGAAAACAATCAAAATTACGTTTTGCTATTTTTTATTCAACATTGAAATAAAGGAATATTTCTCGTACAATAGAATGTGGATACATATATAGAATTTGAAGGAATTAATAATATTACCGTAACCGTAAAAATTAAACGGAATTCTTTTATCCGACATGAAAACAGGCATTATTAACTCCTTCAAATAATTACCTCAAGCTGAAACTTTTGCGAGGATTCTAAATTTTTCATCGCATAAGACTGATGAGTATAATATACATATAACTTCGACACAAATTGAAGCCACCTAGAACTGTAAAATGTTCGTTAAATTTACAATTACAATTTAATAGTAGATTTTTCCTTTTACATATAATAATTCTGCAATCAACGATTAATTAATTAATTTGGATAAATATAAGGGTACATGGCAACAGTCATTGCATCAGTTTATTATTATATAATATTTCGGTTCGGTCCAAAGTGTCTACATTTAAACATATAAATGTGTGTTTCAGCCCTTCTTAGTCCATTTTATTATTGTCATTGAAATCGTAAAAGTCACCATTTAGTCTAAATGTCAATGCAACCACGACATCTTATGCTATTTTAATTTCTGCCGATCAACTCTTGTCTAGTAAGCATGTACACGTATGTATGTATTGTATTTAGCGAAATTAAAGACATAGAGCCTTTGAAACAATTACACTTGTGTGGTGTGGATTACAATTTTTCCTTTATTTCTTTCATTATAATACTTGAATACACTTATCTACCTAAGTTTTAAGTAGGCATACATATATTTAAGATGTCAAACAAATTAAGGAACAAAATGATACAGTCGCATTAATATATATATACCCGTATGTATGTATATACATACTATGTATGTATATGTATATGTATATAAATGGTAAATTGTAAATGGTAAATGGAAAAGGAAAGACCGCAGTATTTTCACCCTTTAGTTTTTTATTAAAATCAAATACGTGTAACAGCTGATTAAAATTAAAATTGGAACTTAATCGTTATGAAGAATTAATTTCAAATACATTACATTCGCATAAATGAGATTCCTGGACATATCGCGTTTAAAGTAATAAAATAATAAAACTAGAACGAGCAATCACTTAAAATGCTAAGAGGTATTTTATACGTTAGCGTATTCTCTTACACCATAATGATAAACATATATAAATATATACATAAGTTAATATGGAAACTATTTAAATTGATTGACTTACATTACGCCGACGAAACGTTTCCAAATATTCAAGCAGTTTTGTGAATTTGTTTATGGTCTGTGATAAACAAAGATTAAAACCAATGTCCGGTTCATGGACGAGTACTGCGGTGTTAGTTTATATGACGCTCTTTTTCAATAACATCATTCAATAATAACGGCACGAAATCGATTCTTTAAAATAGTCTCGGCGTCAGTTTGCTGGGACGCTAAGTAGTTCCTCAGTTCTTTTTTTTTTTTATTTTATATTGTGCTAACTAATTTTCAAAACCGAATGAATCTGATGACTGGAACATACATGGCTCCCACACAATGTATCGTTCATATATGCATCTAAATCTATCCATGTTTCAATCAAATAGGGAGAAGCATAATGAAATTGATGTAGTTCTCAGCATATAAAGAAATCGGACGAGGTATAAGACACACGTGTATACATAGCTCCTAAATTAACTTATTATCTTTATACGGTATTGTGTGAGTTGAAACATAAACGATTTAATAATAATACTTAGTTAGACAAGAATTTTTTTGATAATAATGTTCAACCTAAAAATTACGTTAGTTCCGAACGAAAATGTTTCCGCCGAAATGGTAATAAATGACAGTTTGAAGTAAAAATCTCAACAATCAATTATGTGGGCGCTTAATATCTTCCGGTAACGATGAACATAGTCCATTCTCATACTTATAAATATCGGCACAAATTTATAACGCCGTTTCATGTTCCCCATTAGTTGAGAAATACAACTGTGTGCTTGCTTTTTGTTGTTGCTTGGAAAAATAAAAATCAAAAAATAATATCAAAATTGTCACCAACAACTTTTCATATTCTCGGAAAGCGCATTGTTTTGCAAAATCTCAACTTTCGCTTCGTTTGTCAGTGGTATTACATTGATTTTGTATTTTTGCTACTATGTATGCATGTGTGTGTATGTAAATCCCGTAACATCAATTCTCGTTATTTAGTTAGTGTTTCAAATTATCAATAAAAAAAAATTTACTCGATCTGTTTTTTCATGCAACGAAACTATCATTTGAATTTTATATTTGGTATTGAGATTCTAAGTCTTATTGCATTAAAAAAAAAAAAGAATTCCTCTCTTTATTTTCTCGAATGTGCATTTGTATGCACATGAGCTTTTGCTTCGATTTGTGCAATCAACTTTGATAATTGTCCATGTTTATATGGGCACATAATTTCCTTTCGGCTTGTAGAATATTTTACCAGTCAAAAATCTACGACGGATTTCAGAGATCAGCAAACGTTTCTCTTTTTGAATTTTCTTAAGGACACCCTTATTCTCCTGTGCTCTTCGCGATAAATATGGCAAAACTTCATTGACTGGCCCGTAAGGAATATATTTATAAGCGGAGTAGCCAGCTTGACCTGAAATATAGAAAATGGAGAATATAAAAAAAAGTTAAAAACTCTGTGTTTTTCAATATTTTTGAGAATAATAAATAATATATATTGCATTATTAATAATGTGTTCATACTTTATAATAATATTATTATATATGCAGATAACTATTTCCAATCGCTGATTTTTATGTTAGGAACTTATTACAACTGATTTTGTGCATAGTCAAATTTAACGATTTCTTTAACATAATACGACTCCTGCAGCTATTTCGATGGTATAAGATACAATATATATACATATCCCTGCAAGAACGGGCTGATGGGTTCACCAATACACTCACACGATTTCGGGCAGCACTAACACATATGCACATTTTTTTGTTTTTCTTTCTCTTTTGAGCATATACAAATTGAAGAAGAATGCAGTTGAACGGATTATGCGATTTTATTTGTTTTATTTTCGAGTAGAACGCCATTTTTTATCGTTTTCTCCGCAGTAGACAGAAGTGGATCAGGATCCTGTACAAGCTATGGTAATAACATATTTGGTTGGGTTGGTTTGAGAGGGCATGTGAAGTGGTGGTTAGAGTCGTGCGGAGACTCTCCACATCCAGGGCATACGTTGGGTATGCTGGGGTCTAGTCTGTATAAGTAGGAGTTTAACCTGCTACAATATCCAGACCTAAGCTGTGTCAGGGTCACGCGGGTCTCTCGAGGCAGATCGAGCTCGTTGTCTGTTGATTTCCTTCGACATCAATGCTATCGCTCATATGTGTTCGGCTTGTACTGCACTGCTGCTGTTTTGTTACGTCCATATTGTTTTCTTTTAGTATCAATGCTGTCGATCAGCTGTGTTCTGTGTGTCCGACAAGTATGACAAAATGCACAAGGAAACGAAGAGAGAATGACGTACACGTATACAAATGTAAACATCCCGTTTGTCATTTCGGCCTTAAGAAAGTGATAGGAAAATCGTTCTACGAGCTGACGGGACATATGTTGACTCAAATGATCGGAAGCCCTCTTGCAGGGTAATTAAGTATTAATTATAAGTTGGATTGTTTAATTTTCGAAATTGTTTACGCTTTAAGGTTATCATGTAAAATAACAACAACTTTCCAATTTTATGGAATTGAAGCTGGGAAATATGATTATTAAAGTTCTTCTACTTTTGCTTTATATAAGTGACTTAAAAATAAAATCACTCAAACAGAAATTAATTTCTTCGTTCAGAATTTCAATCTTTTTCATTTCATTATATTTCAATAAAATAATTTACTATTAGTCTTTGCTATAATGTAATATGTAAAATTATATTATATCGTTTGGAAATTCACTTTGCAATAATTGGGAATCTAAAAACTTAAAAACAGTGCAATTGCATTAACACTAGATTGCTGAAGGGTTAAGCGGAGAAATATTCTATAGGGTCAACCGAATGCGTGCCATGAGTATAGTGTTTCAGATCTAATTATCTATCTTAATAAATTGTTTATTTTAAGCTTTAACAATATATTTATGTTGTGCCTTAATTAATTCATTAAAGTAATTTATTAATTTGAATGTGATAAAATGAGTTTATGTATAGATCCCATAATGGTACTAATAGACCCGGTCACGTGTTGCTGTAGTGTCCTGATTGGTATTGCATCATCTAATTCAAAACACTCAGTTCTTTCTTATTGATGTAAATAGTTATTTGTATGTGTGAGCCACTTCTTCTCTCCTCAAAGTCTTTTACGAAATATGAAAATATAAATACCTCGAAGTAAGACAAACGCATGGTTATTATGGCATGGTTAACCATGAGTTTGGTTATTCACACTCAAGTTGAATTTATAAAAATAGCTTGCAACCAATAGCATTGCGAAGCGAATGTATCTACACGCGATCTATGCTTACTATTAATATATGCAAATCATATTAATTTTCGGCAAAAGTGTCGGTGACACCTTTCCAGAAAAGAAAGTATTTAATTCGAGCAAATCGAACTTGATTTCAGGTCTCTGGAACTTTTCCAAAAAATAAAGGCATTCCATTTAGGTGTATCATCCAAATGTGATTCGATTGTAGTAAAAACGTTTTTCAAGAAAAATGAAATATACATAAATTTTTTTCGAATAGTTCGGTCATTGGTTCACTTCCCAGAGAGGAGAGTTGTCTCTCCGTTAGTCTAAGCAAAAAGCCACCTATGAATCATAATAAGATTTATTTCGTTTAAACCTTTCCAGGAACCATTGAAACAATCTAACACAATTTTAAGTCAAACAGTCGGGAACCTTTGGAGATTGCCGGATTATTTCAAATGAACATAAGATATTTATATCTACATATACTAACAGACCCAGCGAACATCGCCTCGCCGTAACTACATGCCTTTATATAACATTAAACTAATAATAAAATATACATATGCAGGCGATTCAAATCTGAATGTGAATTATTTGAATGAATTCGATTAGCAGAAAGCAATATGGTTGTAGGCAAGAAAAAATTACTTAAATTATACTAAGCGGTTCCAGATAAGGAAAATTCAAGCAGCCCATACAAACAAAAATATAAAAATCAAGCAAATTGAACCACAAATAAAATTACTAAAAACAAGTTTCTGCATGTGAATCTAAACGACAAGCTACCAACGAACTAAATTATTCGAATCGTAACTAAGAAGAATTTCATTTCGGTCCATCCGTTATCTATTCAGGAAAAACTATTAACTGTTTTCAACATAAGCGTTTCTGATTGAACCAGGTCACATATGTCTCCTTCTGAGAGTTGTTTTTTCTCTCGTTTGGATACTATTTTGCATAATTCATTGAAATGACATTTGTCATATATCACGCTATGGAAATGCCCAGCTTTTACCAACGTTTACGCAAGGAAACGGATCCCGCATATGCAAGGGCGTGCCTTCTAAGAAAGCTGTCATCTATCGGGTTGTGGAATGGACCAAGCCAATCAAATATGCGCTCTGTGACCCTTGGTCCACTTTCGAAAAATTTTATATATTAATAACCATAAGACGATATTTTCGAATAGATCGCTTCTAGGTCCTATTTCTGGAAACAAAAGTAATGTTCCTGCTAAACGAATCATAAGGGTACCTATTCATGAAACTTCAAGTAAATCGAAGTATAATTTTAAAATTTTCTTGACAAGAGAGTTTTATATACTAGAAGATAAGATACATATATCTACAAATGTATATAGTTCAGTTCTTGGCCGGGGTTTTCGTTAAAATACCAAGACGCGCGCCTTACTTGGCCGATTAAAATCAGCCGATAAATTTTTGATCTGTAGCTGAACTTCTTTAGCTCACAACATTTTACAATGCTTCTCGTGCTGATGGTTGACAAGTGAGAGTCCGTATGAATAATCATAAAATACCTTAAAGTTTTAGTAATATACAATCTATAATTAACGTTAGTTACATACCTAATGGAAATGTTATGTAGTCGCACATGCCCAGTAATTGACCAAAGCAGATGACTTTATCTTCGGGAGAGATTCCAATTTCCTTCATTCTTTCGATGGCAAAGCGTACAGTGTCCTCGTTGTGAGATGCTACCATGATACCAATTTTTTTGGCATCTTCTCCACTGTCCTTCAATAACTGTAAAACATTTGACATACATATGTATATTCTGCTTTATCGTGCGTACTTAAACTTATATACACTTACCTTTATTCTCCTTAGACATTCAGTTAATGTTTTGTGATACATGTCTGTGGTTGCCTCATAATTGGTGCATATTGGGTCAGGGTAGTTCATGCTCGCAGCTCGCTCGCGCTCTTGCTCCATGTAAGCACCTCGCACCAATTTTGCACCGAAATAAAAGTTCTGTCTTTTTGCTTGTTGTAGATCAGTGCAAACCTAAATCATTAGAAACACGTATTGTATAGGTTGAGCCAAAGGAGTGAAAAAAAATTTTAGAAAAATTAAATTTCAATTGTCGATTTCTGTACCTCTCCGAAAGTCTCCTTTAAGTAACACTGATAGGTATTGAATACTATGGCCTTCTCTTTATTGTATTTGCGCATCATTTCCAGAGTAATGCGCGAAATCGCAGGCTGGAAATATGTCTGTTCTGCGTCAATCATAATACGGACATCTAAATCGGCTGCAGCCTACAAGTAAACAATGAATAATATTTATAAGTACGTGTATATGGAATGCAACCAAACTTGTTCAATGCTAAGATATTTAAATATTTAATTAAAATTAGAGCTTTAACATTTAAGTATCACTTATACTATTTTTTTTTTGTTTTGTATTTTAAAATACAAAATTACTTGGTTTAAAAATGGTTTTAAAAATACGCAACATCTGATACATTATGCTTCAGTTTTCAAAAAGAGATAGTTCAAACTAATTACCTTTACAATAGTATTGACACGACGAATCATATTTCTAAACATTTCCTCTTCCTTTGGTGGAATTTGTGAGATCAATCGACGCATTTGTCCTGTGTGTGGATCTGGTACACGGAAAGTGTCACTCAATTGGGAGTCTTCATCCACAATACCCGACCAAGGGAACAAGTGCAAAATACTTAAAAGATAAATTTATTCTTTATAAATTTACTCGTATGTTAAATGAGTTTGATTTACGGTTTTTTACATTCTGGAATATTTATAAATAAAATAATACATTATAATTTACGAGATACCATTTCAAAAAGTTTGAAATCTCGATTAAAGTAACGGGCATAGAACAACTTTGTTTCCGATTTAATGACTGAAATGTTTTCTGAATTTTCTCGATTATTATTTGTTGCTAATTTAACAATAATCTCGAATAAAAACCCTATAAGCCAAAATTGAGAATGCTGTTCTCTTGTGAGTTTTTTAATAAATGGAAATTAATAATACTTAATCGTACTATAAACCAATATAATGTACATCATTTATACATATATTTAAAGATTAATAAGTAAATATTTTATTTATTAATAAATTAGGCATACCCTTCCTTGTCCGAAGTAACATTTTTCAAGAAATCCTGTACATTCTTGTTATCACCCAAACTAGAATAGTACTTTTCTAGGTCTTTAATTGTCTTGTGATGGGTTAGGACATTTCCCTGTCCGCCGACTAAGTCCTCCATGTATTTGCGAGTCCGCATAATTACTTCCGACACTTGCAGCTGAGAAAAAGTAAAAACTTAAATTAATTAAGAATTTTTGTTCAATAATTATTTTTTACTTACCAACAATTGAGGACGTCCAAGTGCGGTAAGTTTAATTGCAGTGATTCCTGTACCAAAGGTGGCGCCTAAAAGAAATAAAATTCAATCTAATTAGGGCGTAATATATAAACATTTGAACGCAAATTTACAGGTAATGTTTACACTGGTTGAAAAAAAAAAATGAAAAAAAAATCACATATTGCTCTATACTAAAGATATTGGGCATATTCATAGTCAACTTAGAGCCGGATTTTTCATTTAAAGGTGGATTTTTTACTTAGAGCCGGTTTTAAAGTTAGAGTGAAGAAATGCTCATGCTAACTTTGAGAATCAAATTTTTAAATTACCATGGTTTTTATTGCATTTTAATTAAAATAAATGGTTAATTTGTCTTGTTCAGAAGAAATCGGAAGAGAATTTCCTACTTTAAAGTATTTACGTTTACCGAAAGTGACAAAAATGTATTTCAAAGCGATTTTACCCATTTTATATAGAGAAAACCTACTTGTTGAGATTATAAATAGTTTACATAAAGCAACAAAAATGTTTAATAAAAGTTAAAAAATAGAAGAACCGATAAGTAGTTAGGTCTTCAAGTGGTAGAAGTTCTAAAGAAATGGCCAAAAGGAGTTATAAATGAAATGATAATCTACCCTAACTCAGGGCTTGGATTATGCTCAATGAAGATCACTTTCACCAAGGCTACGAACCAAGTGACAAAATAGCGGAACAATTCGTCCACCCTCCATTATAAAACCGCTTTCGATATCTCACGAAAATTACCTTTCTCTAAACTGGTATTTTCAGTACCAATCTAAGTTCAGGAAAAGTAATATTCAAAGAACTAGATTGAGGATGGAGCTCGACCGCAAATCAATGATTTATATATTGGTATGAAATAACAACCGGTGGTCTGACATTAAATGACTTTATTTTGGAAAGCCTTGTGTATACGGCGACTAAAAGACAATAGGCTTTGAGGCCAGGAGAAAAGTTTAACATAAAAACTTTATAATATATATCGTTACCAGTTAGGGCAAGTCGGTTTATATTCATGAGTTTTTTAAAAGCCAAGGTAAACACATCGTGTACGTGTACATCGGCCAGGAGAGCGACATCAAGATGAGGGTAGAGGATTTTTCACAATAACACAATCAAAAGAATTAGATTATTGCTGAGTGAAGCCAGGTCCACATTTTATGTAATATATTTCTAATTAATTTGTTCCTATCACCAGTTTGAAGGATATTGAAAAAGCACAATAAGTATTTAGAAGGAGTTAAATCAGTTAAATGCTTCTAGATGTCATTGACGAGTTGACGAGTGACGACTATGTTAGCTGGTGTTAAGATTACGAAAAATCGGATCTTTAAAACAAAATTGAACACAAGACTTTTAGAGGTGTTATAGAATCCGACACAGAATTGCTAATTTATCGGAATTGAAAATCAATATCTTTTTGAAATGGTGTTATGAAACCGACCTGATTTTGCTTCCTTCGAAGATAAGCAAAACCGATATTCGAATCAGCTGCCATCACACATGTGCAAAAAAACCAGCAATTCAATTTATTTTTTTGTACTGGTACTTACACGTTTGTGATTATTAGAAATAAACTGATCCAGAAAATAAAGCGAAAAATTCTAAGTGATAAGAGCAATCCGCTAGAGCTGCCATAGTCGATGTAAGTGCAATTTGATACAAAATTGGTTTGTTTGTAGATTCATAGACCAATAACGTCTTAACAAAGAAGCTATTGTAATAGGCTGTCTATACCACATGTGCACCAACTTGCAGGCACACTGCTGTTTTTGGCAGAAGGCACCTATTAACTGTCTGTGGGACTCAAATATATCCTTAGCGCCACCCTTAAGTCTCTGTGGTTATAACAGAAATGCTAAAGGCTTTTGAACGTTTGAATTGAATTTTAGGAAAACAGTGAGCTCGTGACCATTTTTACATCACGTACCGTATTCTAGGTATTGCTGATTGTAAAATCCATTGTTCATGACTTACATTTTTATTAAATTTACGCTTGCAAAGAAATTTGCACACAATTCTGTCGAAGAATAACTCATCGGTTTAATACAGACATTTAAACCGATAAATCGGTTTCTGTAACGCCTAAGATCGACACGAATTCTGTTTCGAAAATGAAACCGATATGCAAATAAATAATCGAAAAGTGTAGTCCTTTCAACAGAATTTTGTCAACATCAAATCTGATTCCGACAACAATTTGTTTCTGTAACACCTCCGAATATCTGTAGTTTGGGTTCTCGAGTACAAAGTTTATTGGAATAATTTAAAGATGGGCCTAACTCTACTGTTTCGTGTGCTCTCATGCTTCGGACGATTATGATAACAAAATGTATAATAATATTAATTATATTTAACGTTTCTCGCGTATACTAATTCGTATTATATGACATCGAATGTTAGAGTAGCTAAATACATAAATACAAAATTTCATACAAACAAGTAAAATCAAAGCTTTTGTTTGAATCTTTATAGGCTTCCATTTTCGGATGTTACAGTTGAATTTTATTAGAAGTTTTATGGTTTTCGTGTATGCACATATATATTTAAACGTGAATGCACCCATTATCACAATGCTAGTACATATATTTAATAAGCTACGCTAATTAGTAATTGTATTGCATTTCCACAAAGGGTGCGAAGCCATAAAATGTTTCTTCATCATTCTTTTTCGTATTCATAACTTATTAGATGATATGAGAGTAATTTTTTATAAACATTCATGTACTAAATAATGGTTGTGTCAACAATTAAATTTATTCTTGTATATTTTTTTTATTCTCTTGTGTTTGCTTTTGACAGGTCTACAGAGGTGCGGAGTGAATTCGTTCCTGAGGATTTCGCACTGATTTTTCGCTGAAAATATAGCCCATCTAGATCTTAATCATGTAGTGTTCACAGTATTTGCTTAATTTGCTAGTATTGCCGATTTACAGAGTTTAAATACCTACTCAAATAACAACCTCAAAGTTGCCTTATCGGGCATTTCAGCAGAACAGTATTCATTTTTGCATAATAATGCGATTACAAGCGAAGATCTATAACTTAACAATATAAAATAATCGAGATTCAACTAAGTTTGCAACATATAACAATTCGCTCGATTGGTAAGCCACAGATCACCTGACTTGGACTTTTAACCGCACAACATTACCTACAATTATCAAATCAATTATTACCTCATGGAAAATCTTGAATTATTCTGCACTAGATCTCTCCAGGATGAGATTGAACAACACGAGAAAACTTTTTTTAATACAAAAATTCTGAAGATTATCCGAGCAGATATTGACAACATGACATAAACCAAATAGCGACCCCCGCCGTTGTGACCAAGCGTGGTATTTTGAAGACTTCTTTCCTACATAAAATGGTCACGTAGTATTGGTACCTTCCCTTAGTTTGCTTCGTTTTGTTCTCAAAGTTTGAAGTGTCAGACAAGACGAAGCAAGCTGTTTGCAAATTAGTTTTCAGGCCATCAAAGCTTATATATAATACTAAGACGCCCATCGTAAACCAGAGCAAAGTCTTGGTCCCACACAATTTGAGTGGTATTAAAGTCCCAATTATCTTAAATCACTTTTCAAAGGGTTTTTTACTATTTTAACTGCAGAATAAATATGTAGGTCGTGTATTAATACCAGTACATTTAGCTGCTCTCTTACCTGAAACAGCTTCCAAACATTTTATAAATATTTCCATATTTCGCTCACAAGTAGCTTCATTTAAATAGAAATATGTCCTAGCACTGCTCACTTTATAACGACGGTCAGCGAAAGATTTTTCAACGTGATATTTTGCTATCGTACCGTCATCTTGAACGTCTCCAGCGCTGGATACTGAAGATCTGTAAAAAATTTACCCAAATATTATATATTATTGTATAAGGCAAACAATAAAGTAACAGTAAAATGTAACCTACTCAACTTCGCGCTTTTCAGCTTCCTCTTGAGAGAGATCTTCCTCCACAGAGTAATCGAGAATTGGTTTGACGCCAAACGAACGTAACCTATAAAAGTTCTCAATATTCTTAACATAATAAATAAAATATCTCTTCGAACAATATTTATGTAAATGAAATGTAACATAAAGTCATAACCCAAAAAATTGATGTAACTAACGAAATTAATACTCGCAGGAGTGACCTTTAAAAATCATTTTTTACATTGAAGGAAAATCAGATGGCGAAATTAAAGTGAATATCATCAATATCGCAAATTATTGTATATTTCACAAATTTAATTACCGTAAAACTATATGTTTCATTTTATTTAGTACAACTGATGACAAATTTTGTGTTCGTTACCCTCTTTGCGATTTTTTCGGATAAATTTTACATCGTTGTGCTTTACGTTTTAACAAAACATTTTTTAATATTATACGAGTATATAGTTGGCGATTTGTAACCAATATTATGGTGGGAATCTTAATGTTCTTCCTACAAATGGAGGGACCTACAGTTTTACTAGGACACCTCCGAACGTCCGAGTGAAATACACTCAGAGGGCATAACATTTCCAGTTTTTTTTTTTATAATTTTGGACTCGAAACCCATTTAAGCTTTTTTCTAAATTTAGCTTTGACCTTTTTTATTCTTTTTTTTAAGAAAAAAAATTCTAATGTTTTTAGCTACATATTCAATGTGAGTAAAAATTGCTCTTATGGAAGAATAATGGTTCGAATTCAATAATTAATTGTGACATAGAACAATTTTGCAATATTTTGCAAATACAATATAATATTTAGGGGAGGGGAAAGAAATTTCCATTTTGTTAAGTTTTTGTTTTCTTTCATAAAAACGAATTGAATTGTTGGCTTTAAACTTTTTGCTTTTTTTTTAGATTTTATTTAGAAAATATTTTAATGGATCTAAGCTTCTACTATGGACTTATTTCGCTGGATTCGCTGTATTCGCTAAAAAAGTTCTGGTATATAACAAGTTTATTATAACGGAGGGCAACATTTTGAAGCCCTTTGGGTTTTGGATTTTTGAAACATTGATCCTGTCGAATGCCAAAGAGCTGGTTGAAAAGTATTTCAGTTAAAATGTTTTGAAAGGGTATTTAGATTTCGTTGAATTGAAGTAACTCAAATTGCTACTTCCGGGGATGAATACTTCTTTATATCATCTATGACAAAATCTAAACCTTCATATCCGTAGGATTTCTTCAACTTAGAATTTTAAAATTACAAATTTATTATCAATTTTTAAATAAGTTAACTTGGAGAAAGTATCTTTCTTTAAATAATTAAGAATAATTTGAAGTGGGCCAATAATAATAGTTTTTTTTTACACATTTTGAGGACCTTTTTTTACACGTTTTTCGCTCAGAGTAAAACTTTTCCAACTAGAAATTGTAAGGCTTGGTACAGAATTCAAAATTACTGTACATATTTGTTATTAGTGCAGCAAATCATAATCCATCATTTTATTTCGATTAATCATTATTCTCTAGCTACAATACCGAAACAGTTTTTAATGTTAGAGAGGAATTTGAGAAAAATTTCGCTGTTAAAACTTTAGTAGGTTCGATTTCATTCCGGCTAAACAGTGGGTCGCAAATGGTTTATGAGCCCGGCGAAGTTTTGCAAATGGAGTGTCTACAATCCTTTGCCATCTAAACGTTTTTATGAAAATTTCGGGTTTTGCGTTGGTCCCACTTAAAGGAACCCAATCTAGCTGCCATCCTATTTCAGCTACCAGAATTATGGCGCCTTTATAATATGCCTTTACACAGAACCGAGCTAACTGTACATGTATTTTGATTTTAATTTTCATTTGTTAATAGCATTTTTATGTTTTATGGTACTAAAATTTTCATAGCCTCAATTCAATTTGATTTACGTCGACAAAAGTCATTTGTAAAGAAACAGTTTCGAAATTTTATATTTACTCATATTTTGAATTGGTTTTTTCATGTTGATTTCCGGACTCAAAGTGTTTAAAGATCTCCATGTTTATGTCATTGCTTTTAAGAAAGATTTTTTTTTTTTTTTTTTTTTTTTTGAAAAACTAAGTAACGTCAATTTAGTGGTTATGACTTGTTTTCTGCGAGGTATGCCATCGATATATTTACGTATTTCGTTCATAGTTTCGGTGAAATTCGCTTGTAATATATGTATGTATGTAGACATATGTATGCACTTTTTTTTGGAATATTTGTATGTATATACATATATGGATTCTTTGATAGTTAAATAAAAACGTACTTGTGCAATATATGCCATACATATATACATACATACTATGTATATGTATAGGTAAATCCATATACATACATATATGTTTTAATGTACTGTCAATTGCATTAAATTAGTGACCCAGTTAATATTAATTTTCGAGCACCGTAGGGTTGAATTTGGGGAGTCTTCATTTATGTATGAAAATACAAGTGATTTTCTCTTAGTTGTCTGATGTTCATGGTGGAAAAAAAAGTTAGATATTTAGTAATGGGTTTAAGTTTTAGTTAAGCTAAATATTAATTCATGCCACATGCTTTTATGATGTGAGAAAAACATTGCTCATATACATATGTATGTAGTTATGAACATATAATCACTTTTATTGTACGTGGTATTGATTAATCATAAGAACCTTTCAAGCGTTGGAACTATGGTATATCGATTTTCACCCGCAACAAAGTGTCCATAAAATGAAGATTTCATCAGTAACGCAAACAAACGGTCGCCTATTAAAGCGCGTGTAATTTTCATTATCTAGTAGAAGCAGCAGCAAAAGGTCGATGGTATGTATGTATTAAGCACGATAAATGTATTGAAGCATTTGGATTGATTGCAATTGTCGATAGTACGCAATTTTCGTTGTGGCATGAATGTGCGGATTCCACACGTGAAAAAATAATAAAAATAAAAAAAATACGTTAGTTTTGTCTGGTTGGAATATTTACCTCTCAAGTGTTGGGACTATTTTGACTTGATCTTCGCCAGCTACGAAATGTCCATAAAATGTAGCCTTCATCAGCATTGTAAACAATTTATCACCGAGCAAAGTGTTGGTGATTTTCATAAGCTGTGAATGTATTTAGTGTAAATATAATGTTTAAAGTGTTATTTATTTTCAGAATAGATGAACGAAAATAAAAATCACAATTATGCAGAAATTATGCTATTTGTATAAGTTTTGAAAAAAAAAATACATTTCATTAAATATCTAATTTCCTTTGAACATTAATTAAAGCCAGAAGATATAAAGGTGAGAGCAGACGAGCGAGAGAGCAAATACAACAATTAGTGTGTCTTTTGGTTTCGCTTTAGCGCAGGGGCTGTCAAAATCTTTTTTTTTTTTTTGTTGCAAAGTATTCCTTCCTTTTCAGAAACTAACAACAATTATGTAAATCTTGAAAGTAATCATTCCATAATACAAGTTAACCATTAGTAAATTATAATAAATATCTTGAGGGATGTGTACGAAAACTTTCTCCCATGTAGTGAAATTGAAAGCCATTAATCACAGTCCAAAGTTAAATTCTTTCTCTTTAATCGCTTAGGGTAGTTCAGCTGTGATAAACTCTTAACAGAGAGCGTTAAATATCGAGAAGGACCGATTGTAAACTGCCAGAATCGACGAAAGAAATAAGAGACTATTTCATCGGTCCGGTCAGGATCCGCTGGTTCGATCCCTGCCATAAGAAGCCTGATGAGGAGATCAGCTGTCACTTCTACCATTTTTTCTTTGTTGTATAACAAATATTCAATTCATACAAACAACAAAGCCTCGTAGTTTACTTAATAAAAATTAAAATAAGAGACTATTTCATTGCTGCCGTCAGAAATTGATTCTGTTTGTCAACATTACTGAGCAAGATAATAATAAATTAATAAAATAATTGTCTTCCAATTATCATTATTTTGTATATAATTTGTCAGTCTCTAGTAGTACGCTGTAAACTACCGGTGAAATAGTCTGTTACTAACATCGTATAGAGGTGAAATAGTCTCTTAGCAATCCCGTTGGTGGAACAAATGGCAATCGGCACGCCCGGTCCTTCTCTTTAATTTACCTTCTCTGCTTTTCGCTAGTAATTTTTTACGCAGTTTTTCTGCTTTTTCTGTTACGGAGTTATTTTCGAAATCGTTGTGAATTGCGGAGTTTTTTTTTACATACAAAGCTAAGCTTAGTGCGGACTTTGATCTCTTAATCCATGTGGTTTCCGGATTTCAGATAATTTCAAGCGAAAATACATTCCTCACCGGCAGACACCTTTTTTTGTAGGGCCATCTGGAGATCGGCTACTGGAGCAAGAGGATTCTATATTTTTTAAATTGAATCGTTTATTGTTAAACCATATTAAATTTTGTCTAATAATATCTTTTCTAAAAAATGAAAAATTACAAAGAAAATCATTTATTTTGTTTTGCAAGTGGATATAATCTCTTAAGGAGATGTGTTTTTTTAGGATAGATATTACTTGTACACACTTAGGCTCATTGACTGTAATTCTCGAGGTAGTTAGCCATTCCTCTATTATTTTTACATGTTTTTGTAATCTATAAGTGGCCACAACGGGACTTGAATGCAAACTAAGTATAAAATTTGATGTTACGTGGTTTCGATTTGGGGGTAAAATCTTGTATAAATTAAATAAAAGATGGGCTGCAAAACAAATATTTCATACGATTCAGTTGTGTAACATTATTACCTAACCCGAAATTAGCGTCATTATGACATGCAATTCGAAATTAATTAGTTGATATGTCGGTTATACGAGGTGTGTTCAAAAAGTATCGCTAATTTCGAGTTTTCGCTGGTTACGTATAATCAATTTTCAATTTTTTTGTGGCATTATGTTGGTAGTCATGTCTGTCACTTATGCCGACAAGCTCGGCCATTTTGTATGTTCACTTAATTGTTGACAGCAGCTTTGCTTGCACGTGTTTTGGATGGTCTTCGATTTTTAATTTTTAATGAAAGTTTTGCTGACAGTTTTCTTCGATTGCAGGGGCGTAATGCATCATGAGTTCTTGCCATAGGGTAGAACGGTCAATAAGGAACATTACCTGCTAGTCCGCCAGAAACGCACGGATTTTTGGAAGAACAAAAATTGGCTTTTGCACCACGATATCGCTCCTGGTCACACATCGTTGCTTGTGCGCGACTTTTTGGCCAAAAACAACACACTAATGATGCTACAGCCACCGGTTTCCCCAGATCTAGCCCCCTGGGACTTTTTCGTGTTCCCTAAACTGAAGAGGCTCACGAAAAGACGACGTTACGCTACGATTGATGAGATAAAGATGGCATCGAAGGAGGAGCTGAACAAGATAAAAAAAATGATTTTTTGAATTGCTTCGAAGATTGGAAAAACCGTTGGCACAAGTGTAAATATCTGCATGAATAAATAAATAATTTTTGAAAAAAACCCAAAATTCGCGATATTTTTTGAACACAGCTCGTATGTGGAAAATAATATGAATACCTCTCTTACGGTATACTATATTTTACGTAATTGTAGATACACATGTACGAATATTTAATCTTTCTCTGACATGCAGCCTAGAGTTTATAAAAGTATTCAATCAATTTTCGTTAAAGATTAAATGAATCTAACAAAAGTTGTTCATGAAGCACTTATATAAATGGTTGCAGCTTTTTGTTTTGTTTTGGAAAAAGTGGACATGGTATAACCGTACCACTTGAATAACTCGGTGCAGTATATTCTGAGTGGTTTACATACAACCATTTGTTTGCCAGTTGTCTTTAGAGAAATTAAAAAACCCACAGTCTATGTCATTGCTTGGAGATCGTGAAATTTTTTACGTCCTGAACCTCAATTGAAAGAATTTTAACGATAAATTTATTGCAGAATGCTCATTGCAAGTATAAAGTTAAATTTTTTGCTAACTTTTTTCACTTTAGTTACGTAATGCTAATCTTAGGTTGAAGGCGTTCAGAAAACTATATACTTTGAAGCAGTTTTAGATAAAAGAAATCGGACGGATGGATCAAGCCCGAGGCTTGAAGTTAGATCGAGAAAAACGCATTCAAAGTTTTTTGAAACTTTGCCTTGCGTGCACGCGTGAGAAGCTGCCATTTGAAAAATATTGATCGCATTGCAAAATCCCTTTAAACACATACTCTACAAATATATATCTTTAATTTTTTATGTAAAAACAAAAATCGATTATTTGATCAAAATCAAATCATTAAAAGATAATGTTAAACGTTAATGCGGCAGCTACCCATCTTACAATTCCCGTGTTTGTATATTTTATTTAGGTCGGGTGTGATGGCTATGCGGCATATAAGATGCGTAGTTTCGGCATAAAATTTAAGTGTGCTGTTAATATCATAGCAACTTCTACGACGAGTTTATGCGGTCTCAACATTTTTCTTGTTAGTCACCGAAATGATATCTTCGAGGACCTCTAGTATTAACTTTATATACAATGCAATATATAAATTCAGTTTATCTATTTGAAGATCCCTTTCTTGATTCTGTTGCGTAAATTAAATGTATCTAATTACGAATAATTTACTTTTGATCAAAAAATTAATATTTTTTATCCTAAAACTTAAATAAAAATATTGAAAAGCCCTAAATACAATTGATATTACTTTAGATTATTTTTCGTCAAACCTTGAGATTTTTAATTATGTATGATTTATTAGCTAAAGATTATTAAATGCGAAAGATTTCAATTTTAACACGGTTGAAATATATCAGCATAAATATTAGCCGAATGCGTAAAGGTGTTGTATGTACATATATACCTAATCTTCTACCTTCTGCTCCAACTAAACTCTTCCAAACAAGAAAAAAAAATATCCTCAGGCATGCACAAATTAAAACTAAACTGCATCTATAATAGAAAATTCATATTTAAATTGTTAAAAAACATAAACAGGGTATAAATAAATATATACAAACATATGTAATATTATTTACCTTAAGATTATTTTCCACCACAGGTTCAATGGAGCAAACGGTATACACCAAATATGCGCGTATTAACTCCCATGTTGTTTTGCTCTTGAATGCCGCGATAGGATCGTTAAAACCGACATCCAGCGGGTCACGTTGAGGATTAACTGGAACATTTGGTTGCTGATGTGGCGGTTTGTGAGAGCGTGGACGTTTTACTTCGGGCTCGGCTTCTTGTCTCGCAGCTACTACAGAGCGAGAGAGTGGACTTTTTGTAAATAGTGTGTGACGGGAGGTATATGATGGAGAAAATATTATATTGCTGAGAAGTTGATGATTTCGCTGATGCCGTCCGGTAGGCTGACGATGTTTTGATGTTGCAGAATGCGATAAGTCGTCTTGACTGCGATCAATCACAATCGGTGTATCTTGATAATCTTTTGATCCTGCCGATGTGGTTATTGTTGCAGTTATATTTTTCTCACCCACTCTCCACAGAGAGGTTGCGCTTCTATTGTTTTTATTGCTACTATATCCTAAACTTGACGTAGCACGCTGAGCACAAATGGATCGCAGAAACGCCATCACACATACACAGTTATATTAATTCAAGTTATGCACAATGACCACAGGAAAAAATAGCCGGATTATTTTAAATTAAGGTTGAGCACAAATATTCCACGGTCAGCTCGGAATTATATGGTATTATTTATTATTATGGAATCGCTGATTATTTCTCACTTTTTTAGCTAGAAAAAAATTAATTAAGAACAGATAATAATTTATTAGTCCATGAGAACCTCACAAGAGTTCGCGGGAAATAAAATATATAAATATGTTCTTTTTTTAGTTTCGTTGCATGTCTCGGTGCAATCCAAGACGCCAAAATTTGTTTACAATCAAAACGTTTTGAGTTTTAACTGTTGGCCTGCTCACACTGCCATTTCTGACACGATTTCGATCAACAAGAACTAGTTTTGAGAAGTTACAATTAAAAACAATGTTGCTTTATGTGTGAACTTTTCATCAATAAAACGGATGAAATAAAATGTAAAAAGCAAGTACCACGTTGCACTAACAAAAACCAATGTTTTCGGCTACTACACATTAACACCAGCTACAATCCCACGTTTCAGATATCTCAATAGGTGGCTCGATCGCTGAGCAGCAAGTTGCTAAATACACCTTTTGCGATTCGCAAACATGACTTAAAAGTGAAAATACGAGTATTAACAATACTATTAATACATTCGGAATGAATTTCAATAACTATAGTTTGTGCTATTAATTAACGCTAATTCTCACCCAACTGACTCAACTCAACTGAACCCTGTGGTACTAGCATACCTGCGCTGAATGATCACTGACGATTCCTTTACTAATAAAACTCACCAAATCGTCATCACTCAGTAAAAGTTCACCATCTTTTAGTGCCTTTTTCTTACATTGTCGAACAAAAGCGAATTGAGCAGATTAAATTTGGATGGAATTTATTCGTTCATTACTTTTTAGCAAATCGGGAAATAAATAAATAAAAAAGCAAATAAAGGGTAGGGAAAAAGGAAGTGAATGCATTAACAATAATCAACAAATTGAAGAGACTGTGGTTGAAAAAAGGAATGAATTTTTGCAAATTCTTTATTTTTGATTAGAATTTAAATAAAAAAATTATAAACTATTAATACGTAAATATATTATTTAATAAGCATATGTTGCTTACTGCCATTCGGAAATCCTGGTACGACCAACATCCAAAAATCCAAAAAATTAAGTTAATTTTTCTAATTGCGGTCGCCCCTTGGCGTGTATTTATGACATGAAATTATGGCTCCTCATAAAATAGCTTCAGCCGTTCGGAGGCGGCTTAGTATAAACTGTAGGTCCCTCCGTTTGCTGGAAAAACACAAATCGGAGAAGGAGCTCGGCCGAAAATAGATTCAGCAGTTACAAAGCTTAATTATATTTATGAATTTCGAAAAAAAGAACCGTTGCGCCCACAAGATTTGTCGTATGGTTTGGGGTGAAGTAAAACAAACTCCGAACGGGATGTTATTTTGAATTATTTCAAAAACAAATTACGAAGAGATACATATACATATATTTCCTGAAGAAAAAATTATATGGAAAAATGTTATGAGCTATTCATTTTAGCCACGAGATGTAACGCGTTACAATTTTATTTTCACATTGTATAAAAAAATAGAAAATTGTAATTTTATAGTTTTTGAAATAAAGATGCCACTAGGTAATATTTGAAATATGTTGGAAATACAAAGCTTTCAAAGAATTTATTTATTGTTTCATATGCTTTAATATATATTTATATAAAATCACAAAATGCGATGTGCTTATAACTAAAATGAATAAATTTTATTTCAATTAAAAAAAAACTTAATTGAAATTTAGTGAAATATGTTAATGTTTATTATTTAAAATATTTATAATTAATAAATTAATTTATTAATTATTGTCCTATTTACATGAATGTAATTGTATATCTTGAAAATTAAGTAAACATTTTAGCACCATTGCCTATTAAGTACAATAGAACAAATTAATATATAAATAATATTCTGTAATTTATATTTATATAAAATCGTAGATTTTTATTTACTTAAATTGAAACTAACAATTTTCATGTAAAAGGAATTATAACTTTACGAAATAAAAATGTAAATATGTTAATTTTTCTTAAATATATTTTAAATAAACAAAAATAAACGTAGAAATCGCTATTTTCATTTCAAAGGAAATATAGGTAAAAGGTCAATTGCATAAGGGTAACAAATCGGGTAACAAATACATTGTTTTTAAAACGAATTGCTGGCGGATCGAGTAACATACGTGCTTGTTTTTAATAACAGCTGTAACAAAAAATTGAAAAAGAAGAATATATATCGCATACCGATAAATACAATGCGAGTAAGTGAGAAAGAGAATCACACGTACGTGAAACAAAGCGGGGAAATTTGGGAATTTTGGGAAAAATACCCAACGGCTAGAAGAAAAGTAACAATTCAAATAACAGAAGCACGTATGTAAAATAACAGACGGATAACATGTTGGGCAACAGCTACCCGTCTTGCAGCGATGCTTCCCTCTTTGTAGAACTTGATTGAAAAATTCAAAGGTTCGGTTATAAAATATAGCTTTCTCGCTTACTTTTAGCAAGTCGACACTTTTTTTTAGGCATTTTCATGAAATAATTTTTAAAATTTAAAGGTATTTAACTTTTTTCATTGAGATTACCATTTGGATTTCGGTGTTTGTCTCATTCATATTTGATGAAATTGAATTAAGTCAGTATTAATTATATTATTAATGATATATTTCTTTTATTAGGTCGTAAGTGTAACCCTGCGATATTTTGTCATGGTGTTTTCAGTCTAAGCTTTCGTTTTGCTTGAAATCTACAAGTAGGAATGTTAGTAAACCCTTCATTACCAGACTTTCTGCAAAGTGAACCTTCATCTGCTAATTCAAGTAAATCTCATAAACTACAGAAGGTTCCTAGGATTCTATTATATCCGATCCTGATCGGCCCTCTAACGCAAAAGAATGTATTGACGGGGCTGGGGCCCTTACTCGTAAATGCGCACCAATTGACTATTTGTGTGAGTTCCCGTTTAAGTACAACTCGCTAAATTTAAACAATACTTTGAATGATACTATAGCTTAATAAGTTTAGACTTTTAGTTAGTGTCGTGGGAGTACTCGTTCCATATAATGATATAGGTTTTTTTGAAATTTTTTTTGTTTGGTATATCCAAGGGAACTCTGAATTTGCAAATGGTAAATAAAATACTGGAATTGAAATAATAAGAAGAAATTGCCGGCTAATCCTTAATTTTGATATTCAAACTTAAGATGCACCAAAATTACTCTGGTTTACAAATAAGCAAATAGTTAAAAATTGTAAAAAGAAATCCATTAGTTTTCCATAGATGGCGTTATTTATCCGTATCTCGCGTTGTATAAGTTCGATCGAGTTCCGCTAGGTGGCGTTAGAAAGATGACATTTCGTACTAAAAAAGCTTTTCTGGCAGTTTTCTAATAGGTTGATTCAGTTTTTTTTGAGAGTGCGTCGGAGGTGGACACCAGCCAGGCTGCTGAAAATGTTAATAGCGTTTATGGTTCTGATACTGTTACAGTCCATGATGCACAATTTCATTTTCATTTCGGTAATTTTGATATAAAAGATGCTTTATGGAGTGAAAGGCCAATTGTCGAAAATGTAGATAAAATCATTGACGGATTGCAATGTAAGCATTGTTTGCCCAAGAGCTAAAGATTACAAATAACCCGTTTGAAACCTTTTGAGTAAGGCTGGATATGAAAAGTAAAAATGAAAGCCTTCAGTCTCGCGAAAAATAATGGATTTCGTTTTACTACACCCAATATTATGATAATGTATCTTTACCAAGCTTAGTCCTAATCAAATCATTATTTATCATTAATTTTAATCACAATTTTTTAAGTGATTGGCTTACTTGAGAGAATGCCAATACCTTCCTGTCATTACCTATCCAACTCATACCTCTATTATTCAATAATGAAGCTTCTTTACACAAAAAGTTGGTGAAAGTAATAATTCGAGAAAATAAGCCCCATCATGGGAAAGCTGATGGGGGAAATTTTAAATAAATCTAACAGTTCTTTATTTTCATTATAGTTGCCAAATATTAAAAAAGAAAATTAGAAATAATTTCTACTGTTTAAATCAATTTTTATCAATATAACTGAGAAATTTAATATTTTTGTACAAAAGAGTATATAGCCGATGGCTACAAACAGCCAACGAATAAAATCTTATCGCCGCTCGGTAAGAAAGATAGCCAAATCGGCGCTAAATCGCACTATTCTAATGAAATCCAGTTTCTCTTGTTAAATGCTTTTTGTATATTTTATTTTGTATATGTAACCACTTCATGAGTAACCAAGTTGTAGTACTTATGATTAATGAACTGGAAAAATACCTTTCTTTGTCAGAAGGTAAATAAAAATGGTTTACACATAAAATAGAATCAAAAATAAAACCATAGAATAAAAATGACCCCGTATTAATGATGATATTCCAAACACTAAGTCATCCAGCCGCCGCGAAGACGTTAACATGTTTAACTATGGATACAATCATGTCATGTTAATTTAATCACAGCTCAAATCAAATATTTCCCTCGATTCGGTTGAAAAGTTTGGAAATGTTATCATTAAAGCAGTTATCAAAATAAGTTTTGTTCCGTTTTCACACGAAACGAAAAGCAGTCGATACAATTAAATCGTTAACAGATAATGTTAGACATTAAAATTGAAATGTGCTGTTAAATAATAACAGGCAGTCGTTTCAAAATTATCGTTAACGCACAAACTCGGTTATTTCGGCATGTTTATTATTCATATTAACAAAATCAAATAGCATCACATCGGTAAAACGTGCATCTATGGTTTCAACAATTTTAACATTTGCAGCCTTTTAGATTTTTTTTTTGAAAGAGGAGAAGCATTCTATTCGCCGATTGCTTAATATATGCATTTATATTAAAACTAATGAAAAAAAGTAATTTTTGCAGAAAAAATATCACCATGCCATAAAAAAAGTCTCGTCTATCATTAAATCCGAAAACACACGACTCTGGCAAAAAATAGACCGAAACTTCCGCAGTGTAGTGACAGCATCGGCTGTTAACATAACATTTTCTGTTAAATTACCGAAAGTGAGTTAACACACTTTTATGCATTCACGCATTTG